CTGGCTTCAAGGAGGGGGGGGGGACAGATGAGTGATTCATAGATATAAAAGAGACAAACAGACACAAATGTAGAGAAAAAGGTAATGTGAGTACTGTGGAAGTGATTGAATATGACATACAGTGAGTTCATGGTAGTTTGAAGTCAGAAGTCACCTGACGGTTTATAAACTTTCTTTGCCGTTCGAGTCTTCGTGCACCTCTTGGAGGGAAGTCTATCACGCTCCCCGGTTCCAAATTTAGAAAGCTGAAATTGATCGCTAGAAGAACACAGACGAAACTTCGTAGCCTCTTGTTGTATTCCAGCACGAATGATGCCAGTAACTAAAAGGAGCTGGGTAAGCGCGTAGGAAATTGTAAGATACGATAATAATTGTCACACAAATAGTCTAAGTCATATCAATTCTTTTGAGACAAGTGTAAGGTTTTGTGCTTAGGAGAAATTGAATATGCATTGTCTTATGGGATACTTCCTTATAGGAAACATAGATAGCATGACCTATCCTAAACTAATCTGGAATGTAGGAAAGAGAGGTGAAAGTCGAAGGAGCGTTTAAAGAAAAGCTTCCCCGCTCTGTATAACTCATGCTTTTAGATGAAAAGTTAGGGAACAAATTCGAGAGCCGTTTCCCGTAAATTCATGAAATTCCATGGAAAGAGCGGTTTAGAAAGTCTAAATGTGAATATCGGTACCATTTTGGAGAAGCGAACGGAATTCCACCTTTTTGTACAATAAGAAATTGACCCTTTTTTGAGCAAAAATGTTTGATTTCAGTTTGCATCCAAACTGTGTACGCTTTTTCTAAACAGGCAAATTTTTCACCAACTTACTTTTAAGTGTCCAAAAACAGAGCAGACAGAGATCACGTCAGATATTTCATCAGTGTTTGAACACCTGCAAGACCACTAATTTAATTAATGGGGTCTATTGCTAAGTACTTCGAATCACTGATGTTGACTTTGGTTGGAAAGATCCAGTTCGTGCAAAAGGAATTTAAATAATAAACCAAAATTGGAAGGACCTAAAAAATTTGCTGACGACGTTTTAAAACCCCTGGTCGAATGAGATAGCCGGTTTATGATGAAAGAATCATTGCAGATTCTCATGTCCACAATCAACAACATCATTCAAGCTTGGTGGTAAACTGAAAAGAATGGAAATTTGATAAAGTTGAATGGAGAAACAAATTCATGTATTTGTTGTCTTTCCAGAAAAGAATTCGTCCATTTTTTGCATCCAATTGTCACTCGCAATAGGTAGTGGATAGTTTACAACAATGCTAAAGGGAAAAATGATGTTTCCAAATTCAAAACCCTTTCTGTTCACTAGGCCTGACCAGGGTTGACCTTTCGGAAACTTCTTTCATCCATCTTGTTGGAAATAGGTGAAATAATGCGTCATGAATAGTTTAAACCTGGCGATACCTTGACAGCAGAAGCCTGTGGCTGCCAACAATTAGGAAGACTAAATCCGAATTTTAAAGAAACAAGGTTCGAACAAATTTAGCAGATAAGAGGTTCAACATGACAATACCCGACTACAGGGAGCACCAATGATCTCCTAGAAATCCTGAAATCGGATTGACAGGTTATGCCACATCATCTTCCCTATTCACCACACCTCGCCCAATCAATTATCAACCCTCCATTTTCATGGCGGTTTCTCAAAAAATGGAAAAAATGATTTCAAAATGCGACTGAGGTGGCAAAATACTGGAATGTGAAAGTTAATTCAAAATGACAACTTTTTCGCAAAATTATTCCGAAAAACGGCAAGATTGATGGGAAAATGACAATATATGGTATCTTATACATGACTTAACACAAAAAAGGTTGATTTATATTTTTTAAATACGTGTTTTTTATTCGTGCCTTTAATAAAATTATATTTCCTTTGCAATCATTTAGTGAAGTTGACTTTTAAGGCACTCAATGCGAAAGTAATTGATGGTAAACAATTCAAAGTAAGACAACACCTCACGAAAATGAATGCCACAAAACTTCAGTTTTGACTTAACGAAATATTTCAAATTGTGTCCTTCACATTACAAAGAGGGTGGGGGGAGGGGGTGGAGCGGGGAGGTGCATATTTGATCAATGACTAACATTTCATCTTTTGATCTTTTATGGGCAAGCCGAGCAAATGCCTTGCTATCGATCTGCCAAACATTTAAGCCGATTTCGTTGTTTTCTCTTTGTGATATTTAACCCACCTTATTGACTACTCGAGTTGTTTTTTCGCATTGCATAAATAAAGTGCAGTTTTGATAAAGCAGCCAAAATTGTTTAAACAAACTCAGGTCTACTGGCTTCTACCTGCGCAAAATACAGTTTTTCATAATTCTATTGACATAAGTTAATATTTAACTATCATTGATTTTTCTATTGGTAGACGCCTACTAGGTTAGTAATTATTAAATCGCATGTTACAAGTAACACTACAGGAACCTATTATTGGGGATCAACTTATTCATTTTAAATCAAAATTGCATATCACCTTTGCTTACTAACATATATAGTCACTTATACTAATTGTATTCATAATCAATCTAAATTTATGGTTTTCAACTCACTTAGGCGGGAGAAATCGGTCTCTCGAAAGCTCTCGTTACTTTTTGTGCGTCGCTGAATTTTTCTGATCCTGATTGATTCTGATTGATAAGTGAACCGAAGAGAAAAAAATTCGCATGAATAACTTTCAGAAACGAATGTATAAGCCAATCCAATAATAATAGAAGGCAGCTATTCCATCAAAATTAGAATATAGATTTGTGTTGGTTAACATGGAATCGAATAAAACAAATGACACGTGTGCGTTGTGTGCGTGTTTGAGTATTTAAAATGGCCAAAAGGTTTAGTTAGTAATTGAATACAACACCACGCCCTGTTGCATCAATTTGATTTCTGATTGGTCAGGAGTTCGGTGTACGCTGTTTGGTATTTGCCAAAATATTCTATCGCGCATGCCATCGAATGTTTACCGAACTAGGTAAAATAGTCTACTTTAGGACACACGATAACTCTATGGCGAGATTACACGCCACTGCGTGGTCAAGGTAGTTTTGATTTCAGCGATTGACAATAACCAAGATGAAATTTTTTAAAAACATGCGGAGTTCAGCCTTCACTATTTAATCATGAAAATGACTGCTAAAACACGGAAAAGCTAATTGCAAGAACCCGATAAACTCTTTCTTTAATGTGAAAGCTGGGAAACCTATTGTTTAACTGTTATCATCGAGGTGACCTTCAAATAGATGACATGCAATGTAAAAAAGGGAATAATTATTATTATTAACAATCCATTAGCGAATTTAGCGATAAAAATATAGAAAAAAATTCATTTTGAACCATTTACTGGCTATTTTCGATGGTGAATATTTACGATTGAAGAATTTGTTTGGGGCAAGAATTACAATACATTACACATTATTGACAGAAAGTCACTGGTACTCTAAAGCATTAAAAATGATTTTTTTTCAAATTGAACTCAGACCTTAAAACAGTGAGAAAACATTAAAGTCAAAATTGAGGTAACTATGAGCTCTCAGAAAGTTCCAATTGGTATAGGACAAGATTAGGAAACATTCATTGAAAAGAAATATGATTATTAAGGTAACCTCTCTAGGGTTTACGTTAGAAAAAGAGTTATACAGCGGACGGCTGAATTAATACATCTTGGCTTATACTCAGTGATCTTGATGGTAGAACCCCTCAACCGGATGTAGGAAGCAAATGACATAACTCTGCTTTGGCTAGTCGTATGCGTTTGAAGCTAGATGGACTTCAGAGAGAATTAACAAGGTTAAGCGAGGCTATAAATCACTGTGAATGAGGCTGATTTGTATTTGTCATGACAACTTAACAAAAGCGTCAGTGCGGCTAACACACCCGGTCACACACTTGTCACTTATCTATACAGTGTTTTATGAAAAGAACTTATTGTGGGCTGTTTTGCCAGCTGCGAACCGATATCCAATCTTAAAGAGCATAGGTCATGTTCCACTTAGCCTATTCACAAAATATAGCCAATCACATTACTACATCTTAAAACGTTGGTTCCATTAGCAATATGGCAAACGTTAAAGATGAGTGCTAATTTTGCCAACCAAAATTTTGCATAACTATATTAGCTAATTGACAGAGCGGTTAAATATGAGCGTCTTTTAGTAGAACACGTAGACTAGTCTTTTGCACTCATAAATTGCCCAAATCCGTGTCAAAGCGCTTTGTAGTTGCTGATGTTTATATTTTAAACCATTTAATGGTTGATTTATAAAATTAATGTATCTTTTGTACTGCTTAATGCATTAATGCCTGATTATTAAGGAAACTCAAAATTGCCAACTCTATTCACAGCGCATAGTTTGTAGGTGTTAGACAGTGTTTGATATGACCACACTTGCTTATCAATCTGCTGAACACATGCCTGGCACTAACATACGTCACCCCATGAACTGATAATCGTACTGATCGTTAGACACACCCATTGCTCTTTACCTGTAAGCGCAAATGATTAAAATTAATTTCTTATTCCCGAAGAAAGGAGACAAATAATAGGTGCTAGACAGTGTTTTATGTGAATATATATATATATATATATATATAGACCTGTTTTGTTTTAGTATCACTAATTCTGACCTTTTCGGTTAAGTGATTCTTTTCTTCACGGAATCGATTTAATTAACCTAATTTCTGAATGCAGTACGATTCTAAAATTACAATTGATTTAATTGGCTGAAAATCAACGTTTAAAATTAGATATAGGCCTTTTGCTTTATACTTTTAGAGAGTGACCGTTAGCCACAATTTTAAAATGGGCAGGCAGATCAATTTAGTCACAAAGAAAGTAAAAACAAATTGCCAATAGGGAAAAATAATCCAATATATGAACCTCAATTAATAATTGATCAATTTATATGAAAATTTTATGAAACAAAAATGTCAAATGTTGTAGCAGTTAACAACACTTAGCCTTTGCAAATGACTGTTAGAGTCCAGTCTACTCCTGCTTCTTTGAACCCTCGGGGTAGGTGAGGGATGAGGAGAGGTCAATTCGTGGCATCTTTTCGTAGATGTCAGGACGAGTTGTCACCGTCTCTGTGATGCCGTGTGCTCCAGGACCGACTTCAGGATTGAATACGAAGTCCCAGAGAACCTATAAATTCAATATATAAGTAAGAACATATGTGTAAAATTGAAAGCATTTACTTCTGAAGGGTATCTCCAGTGTCCTGGTGATTCACAAATGATATCTGCTTCTAAACCAGCTTATCTCACTAAATCACTATTTAAGTGTACGAATGTAAGATTCCTATTCTACGGGGCACAGGAAATTGTTTTCTAGAGACGAGTTAAACTAATTTATTATCTTTATGAGCTAACTTACTCGACGTTGGTATTGATCCAATACACGAACAAATATTCAATTACATTTAAATTCATGACGTTTATTCTAAGTTTGTATTCGTCAGATATTTGAGGGTTTTATATTTCATTGAATATTATAAATTAGTAGTTTTGGGAATGATTAATGTTTATGAAAATCTTTTGGTTCTTTTAAAAGTCCATCAAGGTCGCCCAGAGACGCCTCGGACCGCCTTCATTACCCCTAGGTTACTTAATCACTACAGTGGTCGAGATCAAGGATCTATGAATGTTCACCTTACCACTGGAAATAAAACTAGCCCATACAAAATTCATTGTAATGTTTGCTTACTTGATCTGTTAGTAACTTTGAAGCTTTGGGTTTATGAAGAAGAGAATCAAGAGGCCAAAGTTGAAAGACCCCTTGATCAATCTCATCACACTTTGTTAGGGCGATCTTTAACTGAGAAATTAATACAAATCGTCAAATCATGAGACTGGGACATGAGTCCCTTATGTCCAAAATGCAAGTGTCTAGACATTATTAGCACACATGACACTTCGATAACATCTTTCTCCTATTTATCTGTCCCTAAATTTATCTATCTTCAAACTCCGAAACCAAAACCCGCTGGAACAGGTAAACCTCCTTGTAAAAAAATGAGGATGTTGTTTCATAAAGAGCATTCCCATTAACTCTTAGCCCGCTTCAAATACAGCAACATTTATTCACACCAACGCAGATTCCAACTTTGCTAGTGTCTGAGCCGCCTATTATCATTTTAAATTAAATTAACGTACCTTGCATAGCGAAGAATGATAAGGTAGGGTTGCATAGTACTCTGGTGCAATTTCTTTCAATTTAGGGAGTCTGGTCCATGGAATGTAAGGGAAATCATGATGTTCCACATGATATCCGACATTGTATAGTGGAATATTCAAAATTCCATAATATGAGTGAGTTGCTAAATTATCTGCAAACAGGTAATGCTCGCTGATAAAATGACCAGCCATGGGATGTGGACCCAGCCCCAAGAGTGTGCCACTTAGAAGGTAAGCAAAGGCAACATTTCCAAGGTAATGCCAAATAATCACATCAAAAACCATTTGCACAACCAAGTTTACAACCTCCCAAGCTGTAAGAGGTCTTGGAGACTTGAAAAATGGTCTGAGGGCATAGAAGAGAGGATTTAAAAGAATCCAAACAATTCGAAGTGGACGGCTTTGGAAGAGGTAGCATTCACAGCGCATGGGTATATCAACATCCAAAGCCTCGTGACCCATCCATCTACAAAAGTAACCAACATGCTACTTATTTCTAAACAGTAGTGTTTCCTTCAATTTTAATTTACCGATGGTGGTCATGATGGTATTTCTTGTAGCTGATTGCTACCGGAATGATCATTGGTAAGTTACAGAATATGGATAGAATGCGATTGGCCGGTCCATGACGATGTCCAAAGGCAAGGTTATGTCCAATTTCGTGAATGGCAATACCCAAGGAATGGTTAAGTGTTCCTGAGATGAAATAACAGCAAAGGATGTAAACTATCCATCCTGGATTGTAGATTGAAAACGCGTATGCAATCGCCAGTTGAGTGAAAACCATAAAAACTGTGTAAACAGCAATTATTGGATCAGGGCCCATAAGTTTCTTGATTTCTGGATGCTTCTTCAGAATTTCCTAAAAAGATTCAAAACGGGTGACTTGACAACAAGTTGTGCTCTAATTATTTTGGCAAAAAAATATGACGCAAATATATGGACAAGTACTTTCGAATTTCTTTATTATATTGCAGCGATATTAATCCATTTATCATTTACGGAGCATGACAACCATTTGAGGAAAAAGGAAATTGAGCAAAGCGTTAAACTGAATGGAATTTGATCACTTTTAATCATTATGAAGGATCATTTCATTCATTTAATATATAAACTGCCCTAATGCTCGACATTGCTTCTGATATATTCGACATTAAAAGTCACCCAGGTCATTATGAACTAAATTTGTATAGGCACTAAAGGTGAAAGATGTCAGAAACTTTGTTACATGCTGAGGTTTAACCAACTTGCTAAGGACGAATTAGTGGAATACTAGAAATTTTTGAATATGTAATGGTCGGTAGTCAATTCACTATCTGGCCTAACTGCCGTAATATCTAGAGTCGCTCACACCAACAAATGGATCTTGTTGACAGGCCGCTTTCTAGTTCCGTGACACTCTACTCTGCTAGACCATTTTGTCGACGATTCCCTTAGCAAGCCAAGTCTCATACCTTATGTAGATGGAAGAAGTGGAATCTTCGGTGATTACTTTTCAGCTTGTATTTTCCCTTCTTAAGTTCCACATAATTTGAATGACTTGATTTATTTTCTGTGATGAACTGCCAGAATAGTGCTTGAACGCAAATGTATATATGCCTCATAGTAATGTGATCCAGTACTATTGAAGCACCAGTCTTTTCAAGCTTCAAGGCCCCAAATTCACTGTTATTCTTTTGATCAACTGGAGTTAACGGTATTTGTAGATCCCAGATTTGGTTTAGCTAGACTTTTGATCATTTTAAAGTGACTTAAAACTCCTTTCAAATTAAGAAAGCAACATGAAATGAGAAGAATTATGTAATTTAATTTTTATAATCATAAAATATCGATTCGTCAATACCTGTCAATAAATTAAGAAATTAAGTTCTATCGAGTACTAAGCAATTCGCTTTTATTTTGTAGTGAGGGGCGGGGGCTATTTAATCGATAAATCGATGTAAATCGATAAACGAGGGTAAGCAAAAGGGGGGGGGGGGGTGTGATAAGGACTGTAAAAGGTAAACGCATGCCTATTGTCAGTTACTGAAGAAAACTTCCACGCAAACTTTGCCTTCCCCTTTCCCGACTACTCTACCTAACTCGTCATTTGCTACTGCTAAGGTGAGAATATAATACATGAATCACTTTGCATGTTACCTTGGCAAAATCTTAAACCTCATTTTTCGCATCCTTATCACTGTTATAGAGAGTATCGCCTATCGTCTACATTGCCACTACACTATATGAAATGAAATGAAAGTATTTTGCGTTTTGGTAAAAAAACAAAATGAAACATTTTCCTCCTCTTGGATGGGCTCTCTCTTCTCATGATCGCAAACTATGCCCATTAATTATAAATGCGTGTTAAATCAAGGTGTAATGAATTCTAACCCTTCTCCTCTCAGCGTGGGGCTCCTCCGTGTACACCCACTCCTCATCCTCCATCTCCATGCGTGTGATGAGCTTTACAGTGCGAAAAAGGTTTCCGTATGGAGCGTGGACTTCCTTTCCTTCCACCATTTGTTTAGAACTGAAAACAAAAGAATCAATGTGCTCATTGAAACAATTTAAATTGTTTAGGAGAACTTCCCACTCTGGCAATGTGACCACTTGTGTTTCCCAAGTAACTACTGAAATAACGATATGATTATAGTCAATTTTAACCGCAGACATTTCCAAAATCACATTTACTGAATTTATTTTCTATAGATATTGCCCGTTAGTAGTAACTACACATAATTCAAATTTACTTGGAGTAGATTTTATTGATCACTGCGTTGGAAAAGGCTATTGTTTCAATACGCCACTAAAGAATATGCTATTAAGATACTAGGTGAGCATATTTTAGGTCAAAATCGATTTGACGTCGACGGTAATTATAACATAGAGCTATGTAAAGCGATCTCCCAAACTCTTCTTCATTGCGTGAAGTAATGCAGTAGAGTTATTTAAAACTATGGAATGAAATAAAGAGCATCTTACCTCATCTGTGCAGTAGAATAGTCTGTTTGCTAATTGCAAACTTATTCCTATATATTTCATAAACAAATCACGTTTCTGCTTTTTTTTGATACACCCCCAGTGATCGGATTTCATGTGATGTTAGCACCGCTCATAGGCAGATGAATTTAGGGGAGGAAGTGCTTAGTTCATTTAAATAACATGAGTAATACAATCATATCCGATCACCGTCCCCCCCCCNCCCCCCCCCCCCCCCCCCCCTCCCCCCGATTATTTCATATTATTTGCTTCATTCAATCACTAACCTCGAAAGATTTTGTTTGAATGAATATGCACAGACTGCAACAAAGGAAGCGGCGCAGTTTAAGGATTATAAGTTTATACCATTTTCTAATTTAAGTAAAAGCACTGCTTAAAGTTGATAGAAATAACAAAACCGATATGCCTGTTTTAAAGTGCAGGTAGATTTACGCTCGCGAGAACATATGTTGCGATTTCCTAATTATTAAATTAATTTAATCCTTTTCTGGTTCAAATGTCCTTTATTTTCTAGCATCAAATAATTAGTCCCGAAAATGGCCATAAATAGGAAAACCGAAAATTAACTGTGCCAAATATTAAAGATGAACTTTACTCAAAAAATATGAATAGTCAAGCATACATTGTAAAAGCTTTTTATCTTTGGTAGAAACATTCATGTATTCCGAAAACAACCTTTTCCAAGATAGGTACATAAATATTTCCATTTACGTCTATAAGAGAAGATGCATTTTGTATGAATCCTGAGTGCTTTCTAATTATTGAAAAACGTGTGCGAAACGCCACTTGACTCACGTAAGTACTTGCTGTGCTAGTCTAGAAGAATAGTAAAAAACAGCTATTTATAAAACTTAATCACGATGAGACGAAATCAATATAGAGGTACATGTATTAGAATGACCTTTACAGCACCTAATTCTCCACTAATAGAATGGGAAGAATGCGGTGGTCGACGCTCGCTCTACTTGACGGAAAGCTAAAAGAATCAAACATAGCAAAAACTTCGGAAGCATTTGACGACATTTAGCGTTTGCAGATGGTTGTTTGAGCTCAGTATACTCTATCTTCTTTGAATCCTCGGATTAAGTGAGAGGTGAGGAGGGGTCAATTCATGGCATCGTTTCGAAGATGTTGCTCAGGCGAGTTATCATCGTTTCCGCGTTGCCATGCGCTCTCGAACCTGCTTTCAGGATTGAATGCAAAGTCCTAGAGAACCTATAAATGCAAAATCTAAAAAAGAGCAATTTCTTCAAAACTCATTACTTTTGAAGCATGTCTAATGGATGGGTGTCTCTCGAGTGACGTTTACTTCGAACCACGCCAACATTTGCGAATATAACTCAAAAAGTTGGGTAATTTCCAAAAAGTTGCCATCCTATCAGATTTCGATGATAAAATTTTAGTGCAAACTGCTTACCTAACTCTTTTTTTTGAAACTAAGAGCGATGCAAGATGACGACAATTTTCTTACTTAGTTTTCTGGAAATCTATGCACACAAAGAAATTAATTAATAGACACGAGTATCAACCCATCCCACACGTAAATACTACTCTTTTATGCCAGGTATCTACATTGAATAGGGCACATGTTTCAATCGTTCACTCGCAATCGAAAGCACAACTCTGATCTCGCATTCCTCA